GCCATTCGTCGTGCGAGGGAGGAGAGGTTAGGTTCGGATGAAGGAGAGAGGATTGGGAGACTATCCGACTCGGAGTCGGACAGTAGGAGCTCCATGGTAAGCGTTTCGAGTCGCTTCGGTTCAATGGAGTCCCTGGACCATGACGGACCAGGAAGGTTTTGGAGCGAGGGACGCGGCCAGAAGCGGCCAAGAGACCTGGAGCTGAGTGGCAGCTCCACAGATACCCCCACCAAGGCGGGTCACAAGAGGAGAGGACGCGGCCGTCCGCCAACCACCGGCGAATATGTTGGATTAGCGGCCGCAAAGGAGTCACTACGAAAGGCAACGGAGGCGGAGATCAGGGCACGAGCCGAGGCGGAGATGTTGGAGTCGGTTTTAGATGCCCGCAAGACTCGCTCGTCCCTGACCACCACGGCCGGATCATCCCTTGATTCGAGAGCCGAGAACGAAGACGACACCGCGACCACTGTCCTCCAGCGGATTGGGGCCAGCCTCGAGGTTGTGGAAAAGGTGGCCAAGAAATCTTCCAATCTAAAGGGGACATTCGTGCGCGCACTGCACGACGCCGTCAGTGCTATCAAGGAAGACGTCGCCGGCCTCGCACAGAAGTCGGTTTCAGAGGAGACGCGTACCTTGCAGGCAAACAACAACCGCCTGCAAGCTGAGATGTCCAGCCTCCGCAAGGAGCTGGCCGAACTACGTCAGGAGATGGAGCAGGTGCGGAAACAGGGTTCCGCCAATACCTGCATGGACACGACGATGGAGGCCGTCCCTGTCCGGCCCCCAAAACCACAAGAAGAGACTTCTATCGAAGATATTTGTCGGACAGTAATGGTCCAGGTGGGCGGCATGCTCAATGCCCGCCTTGCTTCCTTGGAGGACCGGCTGTTGCCGGAAAGGAACCTGCGGCCGCCATTGGCGTCGGACAAAAAGAAGATGACCACGTACGCGACTACGGCCGCGAAGCCCACACCGGCGTTCTCCTCGAATGCCCGGGTAACGGCTGGGACGAAGGCGCCCCCGGCGTCACCTCAACCCGGTCCTAGTGGCCTTTCGCGCCAAGTGCCCACCGTGCCGCCCACAAAGAACAAGGGCAAAGGCTCCAAGAAAGGAGCGAAAGCAAAAAAGAAGAAGGGATCTCGGACGACGGGCGAAAGCTCAAAGCCCACCTCCGCCGCCCCAGTAGCACAATCACAAACCCTCCCTCCCCGTCCCCCCAATCCGGACGCTCTAGAGGGAAACTGGGTTACTGTAGGGAAAAATGGCAAGGCGCAACGGCAAAAGTCGAAAGCGGCCCCCGTGCAGGCATCTACATCTGCGCCTGCACTGCCGCCGCAGAGACTAAGAGTGCCCCGGAGTTCTGCGGTTGTCGTAACACTTACTGAAGCGGCAATCAATAAGGGGTTAACATACAGCGGCGTCCTCAGAGAAGCAAAGGCAAAGCTTGACTTGAAAGAAGTAATCGGCGTCGAAGCGGTGCAGTTCCGTCGAGCGGTCACCGGGGCAACTATTATACGCATCCCCGGCGCCACCAGCGCCCCTAAAGCAGATGCCCTGGCGCAAAAGCTACAAGAGCTTTACCACAATAGCGAAATCAAGGTCTCCAGACCCGAGAAGTTGGTCGATGTAAAAATTGAAGGGCTGGATGACGCAACAACATCTGAGGAAGTGAAGGAGGCCATCCTCAAAAAAGGGGCAGGGACATGCACCGGCGATCAGGTCCGAACTGGCCAACTCCGCCAAAGCAGATCGGGCCTATACAACATCTGGGCCCAGGTCCCTGTTGCGGCAGCAAGGAAGCTGACGACGGGCCGCTTCCTGGTGGGATGGGTGGCTGCTAAAGTCACCGTTGGCAGGCCCAGGGAGCTGCGCTGTTACCGCTGTCTGCAACAGGGGCATGTGGCGAGTCGCTGCGACGCGGAGGACCGCAGTCGCCTTTGTTATAAATGTGGTCAGGAGGGCCACAAAGCCGCGTCCTGTCCGTCGCAACCAAGCTGTATCCTGTGCACGGCGGCGGGCAAGGACGCAAAGCACCGTTTGGGAAGTTTACAATGTTCGGCTCCCAAAAAGACGGTCCATAGGAGAGCGCTAGTCGAGGTAGCACGAAACGCGCCCCCACCGAGCGGGGAAGAAATGGAGGTGGCAGAAATCGCTGAGAATTAATACAACCTTACGACTTCTACAGGCAAATCTCAACCACTGTGCCA